CAGAGGAATGCAGAATTGCAAACGCAAGTGCAAATATGGGCTTATATTAACTAAAAGAACATTGTGAAATGGCTGCTTACTACATATTTGAAAAAAGCACACCATGTAACACTCTGAATTCTTCTAAAAATTCTCACGACTATTCCTGTGCTTCTGACCACATTCTATAGACTTGAATTTTCTCCTCTACCTGTATTCTCTACACTTTCCTTTCTCACACTAATAACTGTTGAACAAGTTAATTATGGCTATTTTATGCTGCAGTACTGTCAACTGGAAGGGAGTGTCGAAAGGCTGGCATAGCCAGCAACAGAAGTAACACAGAAAACTGATGAGTGGTCTGTGGCATCCAGCAGCATCTGGTAAGCTTGGGGAGTCTACGAATGTATTTACATGTATTAATTTACTCCAGCAATTTTTGAAAATTTAAGCAAGCAGATGCTTTGGAAGTTTTCCAGCTAATAACAAATACCCCATTTACATTACGAAAGGTATCCTTCCCAAAGATAATATTAACTGTTTTCCTGCAATGTTAAGACCCAGATTTTAAAGCCCTGTGAAGCTACAATAAACATGAGATCTGATCAAGCACCTGTAGCTTGTTTACCAAACCAGTATTAAAAAAGGTTTACCTATTGCTTGTAAGCAATTCTAAAACCAGTTAAAAGTTCAAATTCATGTGGAATTTGGTTAAGCTTTTTTCAGAGAAGTAATTATATATTGTCTCTTTTAATTATTAAAAACAGTGTTTATGTCAAAGGTAAGGTCCTGTATCAAATTTCCAAGAAGCTGGGTGGTAGATCAACATGAAAATACACTCAAAATAAACGTGTTTAATACAATAGGAAAGAGAACCTGGCAATTTTCTTTAAAGTATTGTTCGTTCAAAATATGATCTCTTGAAACATTCAAGCTTCAGTTGCAGTATCCCACACACATTACACATAGATGTACACCCACACACAAAGACATAGGCCCTTCTTTAAAGGGTATTAATTACTATGGCAACTACTGTCACCGACTTAGGCAGCTCCACTTATTTTATTATTACTTGTATACCCCTATGAACACCAAAATCCCATGACATTCGCCAATGCAGTTCATAATCCAATTTTATCCTACTTTACCCAATAATTATTTGAATCTTATGTAAATAATGCAACATGCATCTTAAACTAAAGGGATACACAAGACAGATTTTGTAATACAAACATAGTGAAGTTTCATGCGCAAATTTTTAAGTAACTCACAGTAATTTCAGAAGGCTGAAATACATATACTCTAGAAATATACGAATACATGCCTCGCTATCTTTCCATATCCAACACTGTCTGAAAAATTCAGTGTGGAACATACTCAGAAACAGACCCTCCACAATCACTACTTTTTGTATCATACACCTGGATTCCAAAACACTGACAAACAGGTGTTCAAACAGGTGTTCAAATGCAGTAAGACTGATACAGAGAATCACAAGCAAGAGCTTATTACTGTGTTTTCATACATTTTAATAATATCTCTACACCATTAATTTAACATTACAATTTATTAGAATATACACAAAAGAAATTTTAAAAGAATCTAATTAAAAAAAAAAATCAGGCTCCAAAGTGCTAATGTAACTGATGCCCACGCACCCTTCTAGTAATTAAGATTGCATCACATTGTACATACATAAAAATACATACACAGATTTACATATTGTCCTACTGAACCTCTGCCCTGTTCAGCGCACAGAACACTTAAGAAACAGTTATTCAATATTTTATATGTTTTGCTCAATGCATGACCTGACTTATTCTGTTTCCAATATCCACCTTTCTCTAAATAAAAAGAATTACTAAAATGTCTCTTCCACAGCACTCGGTGTTATAGCAACTAATTTCATATTTTGAAATATCCCAAGAGACTTTATTTTCAACAACAGGATGCTGAGGCATACAAAGATCCACAAAGTTATACAGTGCCCATTCATTTTAGATGCTCATTTTAAGATTTAAGAAAAAAAAAAATTAAAAAAATTCTTCACTTTGCATTGGACCTCACAGATTAAAAGCAAAGCTTCTGTTGAGTTGTTTGTGGATTCATGTGCTCAACAATTCCTCTAGCTAAATCTTAAGATCTTAGGCATACTCCAGAAAACAAAAAGGAATGAGTAACTACTGGCTTGCTGTGAAAAGTTTGTTTTAGGAGCTTGTCTCGTATCATTTAGGAAGCTTGTGACAAAGCAAAGAAGTTCAGTTCTCCTGGGCAGCATTAAATGGTCTTAACCTTGAATCTCTACTTGTCTCTTTCTGCAGATTCCTGTTATTTTCATTACACACCTTCAAACTACATTGTCAGGTCAGGTAGAGCAATACACAGTACTGGCATTTTATCAGGTAATTCCTGAACACTTCTATTCTGTAAGAACTGAAACAATAGTTGTACCGGGGTAAAAAAAGTGGAAAAATCATACATCTGCAGGGGGGGCAGCAAAGCAAGACTTCGTAAACTTTAGCATCTTTGCCCGTTGTAGACTATATTGCACTTAGTATGCACAGGCTTTTCCGCTTAGTTCCTCCAAGATTGGTCCCATCAGTTCTGCTGCTGTCCTACCTCTGGCTCCTTATCTCAGACCTCTTCTCTTTGCCTCTATTTGTCCTGTCTCCATGATTCAGGACTCTCAGTTGAATATCCTTGCTAAGCCTGACATAATCTTTTCTTCTAGACTTGCTCTCTTACCTCCACTCTGCCTACTAGACCCAATTCCTATGCCCCTCTCATTTTTTTCTCCAGTCTGCACTTAACCACACCCAGCAGTTACACTAGCCAACCTCTATCCATCCTTGACCGAGATACCAGTTCCCACAGCTACCAATATCCCCCCTTAAATTATCCCCATGATGTCCTTTGCCAGCTCTTGTCCCAGACTCTTCCTCCCTTTGTTTATGATTTGCCCAGCCCTTCTTCCTCCTCTATTAATAGACCTTTTTTCACCTGCCCTCATTTTCTTCTCTGCAGCTTCCAGATTCCTTCACTTGTAAATCATCATCTCAGGAAAGCATTATTGCCCTCATATTGCCTCCTGGTCACACTACTGTTCTTCAGGTATTCAAACAGACATTAGGTGCATTTTTTCTTTTGGCCTCCCTCTTCCACCCTGCTTTCGTGACAACAGAAGACCCTCAAAAGCACAGGAGTAAAAACCTTCCCCTTTTTCTTTCAACACCTAGTCTGACCAATGACTGAGCCCTGAAATTTGTACTGCAGCACACTCTGCAAAGAAAGCACATGTGCAGTACAGTCACACTCCTATCACAGAGATGCTCTGGAAGTCTGAGAGATTCTAACAGCTGAAGACACACCTATTTCTACCCACATAAACTGGTATTTTTCAGAGGGTCTGCTAATCTGCATGAAGTTTCAAGGCTCTCCATAGGAAAAATAAAATATACACAGAAGATAAAAGCCATCCTCTTAACAGATTTCCAGACCTAGCTCCAAATCACAAGTATTAGAGCATTCCATATAAAATGTCGCAAGAATTCAGTGAGGCAGGATAATTTTACTAGACTTTTTCTCAGTAACAGCTGAGCTATTCCAAATAAGTATCCTCCTAAAAACTATCTCCGTCTGAGGAAGACATTCTGCACAGAAAGGACTGAAAGGACGTTTCTGTCTGCACAGGAAGAGTTGCATGCACTGATGAGTGCTTATTTTGAATGGGGAGCAGAGACATTAACACACAGAACAACTAGCTCTTTTTCAGTGACATTTACTTTGGAGCTGTAAGAGAGACCTAAGAATTTGTGTTTCCATTAGTTCATCTGCTTTCTTATAATGTTTGGGTTAAAATACAAGTTACTGCAGTTTAACTTACCGAACATTTTCTGGTCTCAATTTATCCAGTACCATCTCTATTAAATCAGGCCTGAATTCTTCCAGCAAATATTCAGCTGCCAATACTTCTTCTATAGGATAATACTAAAAAACAAAGCCCAGAAACATGTAGATGAAGTAAACAAAAACTAAGCATGAAAAAAACTACTGTTTTGTAAAGGAAATAAAATCATATACTTCTGGTCACTAAATCTGCATTACCTTGGCAATTTCAAATTAGAAGTGCATAGATGTCTTAAAATTTTTCTCTTCAAACTAAACAGGATGGAATAGTACTCTAACTTTGCAACCATGTTTCTCCTATATTAGACAATATTATATACTGCGTATTACCATTGTTATTCTCTTGAAAGATTTTATCTCAATATAAAAAGTCATCCACCTTTAAATACTGTTTTCAACTAACTAAAGCAAAAATAACGTGGTAAATGCTGACCCCTGGAGGATATTTTTAAAGATAAAAGAACACCAAGTACTCATTAGAGTGCATTTGGGAAAAAACAAAAAAAAAGCAGAAGCAACTTCCCCCCCGCCCCCCCCCAAAAAAAAGCCACCAACAAACCCCCCAAAACAAAAAACAGTAAGTTTTTTAGGATTCTCTACAAATCAAATTTTTATTAACAGTAAAATAAAAGAAAGTATATTTCAATTACCTAAAAGTATAATACAAATTTACACAATTTTTTATTTAGGATCAAACTGAAGATCTCTAAAGGTACATTGCAATTTAAGAAGAAAAAACAGCCAAAATTCTTCTGAAAATGATTAATGTAGTGGACAGGAAAACTTTGTTGATAAACATCTGTTTACCAAGGGAAAAATACCAGGTGACCTAAGCACCGAGTACTTGCAGTTTGCCATACAGGTGTACATTTTATGGCCAGAATGATTATGAAATGGCTTTCTGAACTACATACATTACTCAAAAAAACTACAGTGGAACAAATTCCAGAACACAGAGTAGCTCACACAAAGGATTCTGGAAAAGAGAAAGCATGGGGGGTGTAGTGTGGGCATAGGTGGAGACCAAGGACAATGAATCAAACCTGTGTCACAAAAAATTCAAACGTGAATGCTAAAGATACAGAATTTGAAAGGTCTTGTCCAAAAGATTCACAGTAGAATGCCCATTTAACTACATTCTGCATAAATGGCTAAGCAGACTAAGCAACCTGAAGGGGAGATTTTAAGTAACCTATGCACTTCTAATCTGAAATTACCAAAGCAATTCAGATTTAGTGACCAGAAGTCTACACTATTTCCTTTACAAACACAGGCCACAGTCTGCCCACCAACAGGAACTGAGCATAACATTTATTTGGTTACTTTCTCATTTTTGTATTGCTTGAGCAGGAGGGTTAGACAAGGTCACCTCCAGAGGTCCAGTCCAACCTCAACCATTTTGTGATTCTGTAATTGCTTTTCAGCAAGGTCAGAGCATAATGTAACTAAAATAAACCAGACTAAAACAATCTACATACAACAATCAGATTACAATGATTTTTTTAAAATTACAAAATTAAGGAGGCAAAAAAAAAAAAAGAAAAAAGGCACTGCAAACCAGGGAACAACTACCTGGAAAACGTCAAGCCTACACCTGACAAATATGAAATATAATTTGACAGAAAGACCTTAGTAGTGACTCCTTAGACCATCACAAATGTGCTTTAAAGATGAACTATTTTGTTGAATAAAAAGCCTTCTTAAATCCTTTTGGTAAACTTGCAACAACTTATGAAATTAAATTTACTCATGCTAATTTATACACAGGTTCTTCTCAAAGTTATGAAAAACAAATAGTATTCATAAGTGCATGAAATCACCAAACAACAGTTCTTGCTTGGTTAATTCAAAGCATAAACTTAGTATGACTCAGGCAATACAGAGAACTAGAAAAGTCACTTTTCTATTAAGTGTTTAAGCGACTAACAGCGGAATGAGAATTACCATTCATACTGCAAAGCACAGCAGAAGAAAAGCATTGAAAAAAAAAGTCCTGAATCAATACCCTACTCTTCATAACACTGCTGGCAACTTCCTGGTCTGATTTTGGAGACAGAAATTGTAATTGGGAATCATCCAACACACACAGACCACTGAAAGACTGTTTCAGAAGTCAGAAGTCTATTTGTTACAGAGATTTCATGCATTTGACAGAACAAAAGCAAGAGACAGCATCCCAAATAGGAGCGCCTTTAAATATCCATTTAAATGTTTTCAGGTAAGTCTAAGGCTTTTTAGTAAACAGAAAGACAATTCTGAAATTAAAGGTTGTTATTCTGGACTTTACAAATTAAAGGTGTGTGAGCACTAACAGGAATCCCTGCAAAGAAACCAAAAATGCCTGAGTAGATGTAGACACCAGATGTGCAATGGCAAATGGCTACAATGTATAAAAGGTGCATGAGCTCCACTAGACAAAAAAAAACCCACCGACATCTTCCTTTACTGCAAAGTGAGGGAACTGAATTTTGCAAGAAGTTTAAAGACTAAGATACGTGATGATTCCTTCAGTGCCAATACGTAATCACATTAGTAGAGTCAAACATTTCTAATTGGTTATCTTAATAGGAACATTTCTGCTTACTGCACTATTTCAACATTGTTAACAACAGAAACATTTAGAAACATAGTGCTTGTGTTCATGATAAAATACTATTTCTCCAATATTTCCCTAGAGAACACTTAGCCATGAGGTAGACAAAGAATGACAAGGTACATACGGTTTAACAAACACTGAAACAGATCATATGGCAACTCCAGTTCCTGTAAAATCAGTTCCATCAAGTATAGAAGCATAAAATGGTAGAAAGTGAAGGGAATGTGACTTACTGACTGCCAAAACTAAGATCTATGTAGCATGGTATTACCTTCCTAAGCTCAAGAAGTGCAAAGGACCTTTGCAAATACCTGTATTTATTAAAAGTATAATCAAACATGCTAAATGGTTACTATATTGTAAAACCAAACAAACGACACCAAAAAAAGAACCCCAAAAAACCAAAACCAACACCACACCCCATCCTCCACTCACATGCAACATTCCTCCAAGCTTTGATGTATAACCTCGTGGTCGTTCTTTATCTTTAAATCTGAATGCCACCGCATTTAGATCCTAGGAAACAATGTTGGAAGGGTTGAAAAGCATATACTAAAGATTCTTTTAAGAATATTTATTACCTACTTAATTCCTTTTTATTACATAAGGAAGGAGTTTTGTTGTATCCATGTTATAGGAGTTAGACACCTAACACAAACATTTTCAGTAATATTCAAGTTGCACAAAACTCACAAGAAATTTCATAGCCTCACAATGTGAAGTGTTACACAAGTCTCTAAGTCCTGTTCACGCTGAGACCTGTCCCATCGTATCTTTAAATTTCCTGCTAATTTGAAAACGCACCAACTTTGACACAACCACTGCATAGTGTTCCAGTGCAACATTCGTTGTATGTTAATGAACTGAAGCCTTTCCCTCTTTCTTTTTTGTTCCTTTTGTTCAGCCAGCCAAAAGATAAGTTTAGAGACAGAAAAAGTGTGCTTCTTTATGCTCTTAGCCACAGAAACAGAACAGCATCATTCTAAGAATACAATGGCAAGGGTGAATTAAAAAGATCTAAGAATATAAAGCAAATGAAAAGGACAGTCGATCCTTCTGCGCAACCATGCAGAGCCTGGCTAATCCAACAATCCAGCTGAAAATAAACTCAAAAGAAGATTTTTTTCAATCTAGTTTGCCAGCTCTTCTGACTCACCTCACTGCCTCAGGAGTGCTGGGGCTGATAGAAGAGGAGCAAGGGAAAGACACAGGGATAAGAGCTGGACGCAGGACTCCAGGTGGGCTCTCACCAGAGCGAAGCAGAGGGGCAGAATCCCCTCCCTCGACCTGCTGGCCACCCTGCTTTTGATGCAGCTCAGGATACAGCTGGGCTTCTGGGCTGCGAGCACACACTACCAAGACATGTTGAGCTTCCAGTCAACCAGCACCCCCAAGTCCTTCTCCTCAAAGCTGCTCTCAATTCATCATCCGCCCAGCTTATATTTGTGCTTGGCATTGCCCCGCCCCAGGTGCAGGACCTTGCACTTGGCCTTGCTGAACTTCATGTGCATCGCACAGGCCCACCTCTCAAGCCTGCCAGGGTCCCTGTGGATGGCATCCCTTCCCTCCAGTGTGTCCACCACACCATACAGCTTGGTGCCATCGGCAAACTTGCTGAGGGCACACTCAGTTCCACTGTCCATGTCGCTGACAACAATGTTAAACAGCACCGGTCCCAGTACTGACCCCTGAGGAATGCCACTCATCACTGGTCTCCGCTTTGACATCAAACCATTGACCCCAACTCTTTGAGTGCAACCATCCAGCCAATTCCTTATCGACCGAGTGGTCCATCCATCAAATCCATGTCTCCAATTTAGAGACAAGGATGTCATCCAGGACAGTAGCACATGCTTTGCTCAAGTCCAGGCAGATGACATCAGTTGCTCTTCCCTTATCTATCAATGCAGTAAGCCCACCTAGAAGGCCACCAGATTTGTCAGGCATGATTTGCCCTTAGTGAAGCCATGGTGGCTGTCACCAACCACATCCTTATTTTCCACGTGCCTTAGCCTAGTTTCCAGGAGGATCTGCTCCATGATCTTGCTGGGCACAGAGGTGACACTGAATGGCCTGTAGTTCCCCAGGTCTTCCTTTTCACCCTTTTTAAAAATGGGGGTTATGTTTCTCCTTTTCCAGTCAGTGGAAACTTCACCAGACTGTCATGACTTCTCAAATACGATGCATAGTGGCTTAGCAACTTCATCCACCAGTTCCCTCAGGACCCGCGGATGCACCTCATCAGGTCCCATGGACTTGTGCACCTTCAGGTTCCTTTGATGGTCTCTAACCTGATCTTCTCCTACGGTGGGCACTTCTTCATTCTCCCAGTCCCTTCCTTTGCCTTCTGCAGCTTGGGCAGTGTGGCTGGAGCACTTGCCAGTGAAGTCTGAGGAAAAAAAGTCATTGAGTACCTCAGCCTTCTCCATGTCCTGGACATTTCCAGAAATATTTTCCTGGAAATGTCCAGGTCATTTCCTTCCAGGTAGGGTCCACATTTTCCCTAGTTTTCCTTTTATCACTGACATACCTATAGAAGCTTTTCTTGTTGCCCTTGATGTCCCTGGCCAGATTTAATTCTATCAGGGCTTTAGCTTTCCTAACCTGACCCCTGGCTGCTCCGACAATTTGTCTGTATACCTCCCAGGCTACCTGTCATTGCTTCTGCCCTCTGTAGGCTTCCTATTTCTGCTTGAGTTTGGCCAGGACCTCCTTGTTCACCCATGCAGGCCACGTGTCATTTCTGCCTGGCTTCCTCTTTGTTGGGATGCATCGCTCCTGAGCTTGGAGGAGATGATCCTTGAATATCAACCAACTTTCTTGGGCCCCTCTTTCCTCCAGGGCTTTATCCCACGGTACTCTACTGAGCAGGTCCCTGAAGAGGTCAAAGTCTGCTCTCCTGAAGTCCAGGGTAGTGAGCTTGCTGTGCACCCTCCTTGCTGCCCTAACCATATCAAACTCCACCATTTTATGGTGATTGCTGCCAAGGCTGCCCTTGAGCTTCACATTCCCCACCAGCCCCTCCTTGTTGGTGAGAACAAGGTCCAGCATAGCACCTCTCCTCAGGCAGTCCTCTATCACCTGGAGAAGGAAGTTGTCATCAACACAGTCCAGGAACCTCATGGATTGCTTATGCCCTGCTGTGTTGTCCTGCCAACAGGTATCAGGGTGGTTGAAGTCCCCCATGAGGACCAGGGCCTGTGAAAGTGAGGTTGCTCCTATCTGTCTACAGAAGGCCTTGTCCGCTCAGTCTTCCTGGGCGGGTGGCCTGTAGCAGACCCCCACTATAATGCCACCAGTCCCTGCCCTGCCTTTAATCCTGAACCATAAGCTCTCCATCAGCTCCTCATCTGCTCCTCATCCATCCCCAGGTGGAGTTCCATGCACTCCAGCCAGTCACTGATATAGATGACACCCCCTCCTTATCTCCCCTGCCTATCCTTCCTATAAAGCTAAGATGGAACAAGAAACCCTTACCCAAGTATTTGTAGTGAACCAATGAGACCATATAGATAAATAAAACAGTTTTTATTTCACACTGTCACTGAGAAGTGCAATACTATTTAATTCTAATAGGATACTTTTAACTTTTTGTTCTGTGCACACAGAACCAACAGAGGTTGGAAGGGACCTCTGTGGACTAGATGACCCACAGAGGTCCCTTCCAACCCCTACGATTCTGTGATTCTGTGAACCATAAAGACTTACAAGAAGCATGAACAGTTCAGCAAAGACTGAAGCGTACAGCCAAAGTACTCCATAAAATTTTAGTTCACCTCTCAAAAAGGTGAGAGAACAAACAGCACATTAAATGTCCTCCAGCCTTTACATTCTCAACTATACAATCCGACACAATTCAATGTTACCCCTCAAGGCAAATCCTTCCCCTCCTCCACCTTCAGTGAAGACTAAGGAAGGTTATACAAAATGCTTGCACACAGAATAAGATACTTCTTCCTCCACCTCCATTATGCTGTGATAAAATGTCACCTCACAGTTCTGTAAGAGCATTTCACATCTACATTAAAACAATGTATTGTGAATGTACTTGTCATTTGTGTCACGTTACAGCTTTGGAATTAACAAACTTGATTACCATGTGATTATTAAAGGCTATTTCCACAGCCAAGGAATCTGTTTCTATTTCTAATCCAAAAATTTGTAAAAATACAACCACTGTATATTTCAAGTACCAATCACTGTACCTTGCACTCTTGGAAAACCCATTCTTGAGGTCCTTCTGTGCGTAGTTTTTGAATATATTGAAACATGTGCAAAATAATATCTTCAACATGCACTGGAAAAAAAAAAAAAACTTGCTTAGTAATTCACTCAGTTCTGCACAAAGAAAAAAATTCTGATGAACACCAGTACGTAAGGTTTTATTTTTAATTACACCCTGATACATGAAGATATTTAAGTACATATGCAATCCCACTGGCAAAGTTAAACATGTTTTTCCTCAGACATGAATTTAAGATATGTGTTTAGGTCCTCATCTAATTCCGAGAACTGCATTGAACATGTCTTGTGTTAAATACTGATTTATAATATATTTTAACTCAGGTCTAAATGGTATGAATAAGCAGCACACAGAGGTATTAAAACCTTTTATTTTAAAGAAATTTACTTTTAAAATATTCCATTAAATACTTTAACATAACCTCAAATAAGTTGGTTTCTTATGTTAGATGAAGTGTGTTAGCATACTGAGAGTATCTGAACACAGAAGAATAACCAGCTAATTAAAAGAAACTAGCTTTCAAGGTATAAACATAGCTAGTCTCTCTGGATACAAACATAAACCCATCAGAGCAGGAATTACATGGAATGCAGACATAGTGCTTCACTTACAAAGTCCTTCCTCTGTCAAGTCCACATTAATAATGAAAAACATGAAACCTCTAGCACCTTCCTTCTGTCCTCCAACAAGAGTATTTACCCATCCTATGAAATCAAAAAGAAAATATATTAAACAGATTTGTAACAATTTATGCTACTTTTGTATGCTTCAGCAACATTACATTTTTTTGGTTTTTTGGTTTTTTTTTTTACATTTTGACTACTTTACACATTCTTCTTCTCTTCCTTAATGCCTATAACAACAGTGTAAGTTAAACGTAAGTCAGACCTATCTTATTTTGTGCTTTGAGTGATACAACAAACTCAAGATTCTTTGATTACTGGGTCATTTATTTCTGTTTGAAACACGGTAATATTAAGAAAAATAGTGAAAGATACACTCCTGTAGTCTTCCAGACGTTAAGGGACCTGACAGTAGTCTCTAAGTCAGTGATAGAACAGAGACAAGATCATTACGCCAAAGTTCATAGAACTCTTCAAACATGGGCAAAGGGGAGTGCAAGAAATAATAGCTTCAATTGTCAAAGCGTCTGTTATTTATTGATTTTTACCCACCACAGAAACAAAAATAAAGCACAAAATGACTTACAACTCTAATTACTGAAACAGCTGGGGGCTTTAAATGTATCATACAGAGGTCAATTTTAAGTGAAACATAGCTAAGCTTTAAAAAAAAGTGTAATAAATCACTTTTTAATTCTTTACCTTCAAAGGACTTACCTTTAGCTTTAAGTTCTGATAAAAGACTCCCTGGGCCTTCATGCCCAATCAGATGACCAAGGTAATGACCAGGGTTTGACTTATAGTACTTCTGAAGGTCTGGTATAGGAAATGTGACATAAAGATTTCTAATATCCTTAATAGGTACCACTTTGTAAAGTTGCTGAGGGGGAAAATACACAAGGAGACCCATAAACAAAAGGTAACTCTCATTATTTTACTCATCTCAGGAGCACATATCACATTCCCTTCACAAACACACATTCTACCACAAACACATCAACAAAATCTTGAAAGTAAAGTTAAGTAAAACTTAGGGCAACACTTCAGCCATTCACAATGCAAACAGAAGGAGAATTAATCATCTCTCAGTTGCTTACAGCTGCAACCAAACGCACAACCTTTACTATAAACTATAAAAAACTATACTCAACATGGAAAGGTGGATGGAAAATTAAGAAAGAAATGTGGAACTTCACAGGGACACTGACACAAGAGTAGTGAATTGCACAATATATCACTGAAACCTAAAAAATATCATTTAAGGTATATGATCCCGATGGAAGATGTGTCTCTCCATACATACCCGGAGATGTTCTTCTTGGAAAGGATGTTCGGGAAACTCTGGTATAGGGACATTTTTATTCTCTACTTCTGAAAATAACTTTACCACTAAGCAAGTCAGCTCATCCAAGGATTCTAGAAAAAAGAAACATTAGAAAAAGCATAATCATTACCTGAAGATTCTGGCAATTTTTTTCTGGCAAAAACCCTCACTACAGTGAGGGTTTTCTTTAAGACAGATTTCCAGTTGCCAGGGTGATTCTTACTGAAAAAGTTTTGACTTAAAAGTCTATACACGAACTGCTGTACTAAAGCTGTTCTAGGACTACCCAGTGAATTTTGCTTTTGATTAGATAAAAAATTTGTTACTTAATTTTTGCAAACTTTTGAGTATTTATCACTATTTACTAAAGAAATTATATTCTGATTCCCCCCCACACTTTTTACTGGCATATATTTTTATTTGTTTTACATTACATATATAAAGTGGTAGGAAAATCAGAGAATTACGAGGCTGCACGCAGCTTTAAACATTCCTTTACTTCAGAATGCACAAGAGTAGAGAAATCATGGAGGGCTTGCAGTGTGCAATTCAACATATTTTTCTGTTACAGAATTTTTAACTAATTATTTATGTACTAATTAGCAGTACTGCTACATTGATAACAAGGTATTTCAGCAAAGAATTTGTGGAATAATGCTAACAAGGTTTGTTTTCTGCAGTTTGCTTTTTCTGGGTGGAGATCGTTGAAAATAAAATTAAAAAACCAAACCAAACAAACAAAAAAAACCAACAAACAAATCGGGAAGAACGTGGAACTTTGTAAAATTCCAAATTTGATGCTAGAGGCAAGCCCTCAAACAGCCGTATCAGTCATTAATGTAAAGGCTTCTGGAAAGCAATTGCATAATTCTCCTGCTTGAACAAATAACAGAGTGAGAAAAGGTATGTGTTTTTTCAGGGAAAATAAGATGCAAATTTTGTCCAAACAGCACCTCACTATTACAGTGACAACTACTAATTAAATATGTCAAACAAGGGGAGTTGTACAGCATTTTGTATACAAGCAGACTAACAAAGAGCCTGAGAGTTTCCTTTCAAAAATGTATTTATTTATTTTATATGACTGAAAGGAAAAATCCCAAAGACAGATGTTTCAAAGGCTCCTAATTTTTATAGGTACTGAACTTTTTACAAGGGCATCTCACACTGAAAGAATTTGATTGTGGAAAACCCGTATAAATTCAGGATTTTAACAGGAATAATTTCTGTGTTTTGTAGTACAAAAATACGGATGGCAAGTTGTAGAAATGTTTGAAATGCAAGAGATTTTAAGACTATTTTCTACATTCTATTGATATTTGAAATGCAGATCTTGTCTGTCCCGGAACATCGCCTGTCCAGTGAAGAAATAGTTAAAGCAAAAAAGATGCCTGGAAACCTTGAAAACCAAAGAAGGAAGAGAATTTTAATTCAATTATTTCAAACTCTGATCAATATCTATTCACCCTGGACTAATAAATAGGTTTTTTTTTTGAAAATAAAAGGTTTTTTTAAATTTTGCTCAGGTAAAATAGAAGAAATAACTGAGAAGGGCGAAGCAGCTCTTTGAAACAGCATTAAAAATCAATTCACACTATTGACAAATATTTACAAGCTATCTTCATTGATGTTACAGTGTTTATTTGAAGAAAGTTTCCACTGCTATCAGGAGTATAAGCAAGGCATTTTCACATGACATGCGTTCAGCCCTAGTGGTATTACCTACCTATCTACCTACCAGTAACACAACTGATACCTCACCTTTAAAAAAAAACAAAACAAAACAAATTCAATACATTTTACTGTTCAGCTTGCAACAGTGAAAAAAACCTTTTACCACATTCTAATCAGCATGTGATGTTACAGCAGGTGAGATATAATAGTAAATTTAATTGAAAGGAATTAAGAGCATCTGGAACTGATTCAGCAGCAAGTATATGCACCAAACCTGGATTCAGCTAAAAAGTATAATCCTCACAGTGTTTGCTCACCTTAAAAATCTACAACAAAAAATGATTCATGTATATGCTACCACTGAAATTAAACAGGTACATTTTGTTAATCAGCTTCATACACAGCATCCTGTAAACAGTTGTCAATGAAGATTTCGCTTTGTTAATGAATTTTATTCCATTTATATGCACCATCTGAGCATTATTGTAAAACACCATACAAATGCCAGTTTGCCAGCATATTTCCAAAAAGCAAACAGTTTTAAAGACACTTGTTATTAAGCTTTTGGTACACCTAGGTAAAATGTCGTCTCAACTGTGGAAGATTTTAAGCAGTTAGAACCTCTGTTAATTCAGAAGTAAACTGAAGTTAAGGCTTTTTATATAGATGTTGGGTTAGGTTTATCCTTTGATAATACAGAAATTTTTGCAGTGGAAGTATAAGTCTAAAATATTAAAACAGTATCAAAAGCCCTCCCAATATCTGAAACCAGACAGGTGTCAGTCTTCTGAAGACAAACACACAATGACAGCAACTGCTGACTTGATAACAGACTTAAAATTTTCAGCTTATTTTTTCTATTGTAACCTTCTAAACGCATAAATTTATAAACTGCATGTTGCTTTGAAGACTTCACTAAACATAAAATTATCTTTGGTCAGCCTGTACAAGTTTTACTTTTTTCCCTTTTGTAGATTTTCAGACACTTGTATATACTTTATTTTCTTCAAACATGAAGTCTTACTCAACCAACAGAACAAAACTCACCTCTTCCTAAGACACAAATAGCCATTAAATTTGATGAATAGTAAGTAGAATGGAACTTCAATAGCTCTTGTCTTACATCTATTCCCTCTTTGGTTGGTCTAGTTTCCAGAGTGAGTTTGTTCCCTGTAACAGAAAAAGTTAGCAATACTTGATGTTTATGAATTCACAAATTAAGAAGAAAAATATCAATTAATAAATCTGGTTTCCTCCAGATAGTAATTTTGAAAATAATTCTCACACATAATAGGTAAGCTGGATCAATACTGTCCCAGCTCATCAGAGACAATAAGTTCTTCCACTCTCAGTCTGCACATTCCTAAAGAACCGTGGATGTTTTAGTTTTCCAAATTAATCTTTTTAATTTGAACCGGTTATTTCAAAGCAATGCAAGTAAGCCCAGGCTCTAATTCAGAAGAAGAAAAATATTTTTCTTTGGCACATTTGAAGTAGGTTTTAGTCCCACATACACACTCCCGTCATAGGAATCACTGTGCAAAATTATTTGTGGCATTGTGTGCCACAAATCATAGCCTAGTATATTAAATAAAATAAATAATCACTAATTTACAAACTTGATTTGTAAATTGTGACTGTTCAGTTTCTGCTTCACAAACAGCTGAGCTGTTGCTGCAGCAGAGCAACAGCACTAGAGAGGAAGAGAACTACAACTCTCTCTGCGTAAGCCCATAAGCAAAAGATACCAAACTTTTGCCATTAAGTTATCCTCCTGTTAATTTGTGCAATCTTTACATCAACATCAAGCTTTCAATAATTTACTCTAAGGACATACTCCACATTTATAGTCAAAACTCATGTTTAATAAAGGTAAGAACTTCAAAGAACAGAAAAATTAGAGTCTAGAAAGAGCACAATAGATTTTAATCAACTCCACTTCCCATTACTACATGGGCACACAAAATGGTCAACAGAATCTACAGACCAGAACTGCAAACTAATACTCTGATCTGTTAACTCTGAGATCAGTAACTCCCTTCAGCCACAACCAGGTCAGGTACAGCAGACAGCAAGAGACGAGGAGGAAGCATAAGGCAAGAAAATGTAGGAGAAAAGTTGACCTGTGTGTTTACAACAAAAACAGCAAGAAAGAGAGAAAAGACTGGGAGAGCATCCCTGCTGTGCATGTATGCCCAGTGCACAAATCCTACAATCAGAGATATCAGTTAATATGAGTCTATGAGGCAGAATTAGCTACATAAATAAGACAAGTACATTGTCCAGATGTTTGGTGCTTAGATACCAGTCTAATTCCAACTGCAACAGTCAACAAATCATCATAGAGAGTCTGTCTGAATATATTGCTTTAATTGTCAAAGTTCACATGTGAGTACGTATTGGGTCTGGCTGAGATAGAGTTAATTTTCCCTGTAGCAGCACTCATAGTGCTGTGCTTCGTGTCAGTAGCTAGAAAGCTGTCAGTAATACACCAGTGTTGGGCTACTGCTGAGCACTGCTTGCACAGCATCAAGGCTGTCTCTCCAACATTGCTGCCTCATCAGGAGGCTGGGAGCAGGCAAAATCTTGGGAGGGGCCATAGCCAGGACAGTTGACCCAAACTGACCAAAGGCATATTCCATACCATATGACATCTGCTCAGCAGTAAAACCTCAGAGACAGAAGGAGGAGAAGAGAGGAGCATTCGTTATGACAACGTTTGTCTTCCGGAGCAACCACTAAGTGTACTGAGGCCCTACTCCCCGGGAAGTGGCTGGACATTGCCTACTGACGGGAAGCAGAGAATAAAACTTTTGTCTTCCTTTGCTTCCGCGTGCATCTTTTGATTAATAAACTGCCTTTATCTTGACCCATGATTTTCTTTCCATCTTATTCTCTTCCCCACGTCCTGCTGAGAAGGGGAGTGATAGAGCGGCTTGGTGGGCACCTGGCATCCAGCCAAGGTCAACCCACCACAGAGTAAAAGCAAGGATTCTTATTGACACTTAAAAAGGATAATTTATGTTTAAAATACTTTGTCCATTGCCAAGTTTCAGCATCCGTGCAGGGTCAGGAATGACTCTCACACATTGGTGCAATGCACAGTCGATTCCCGATTTATTGGTCTACTTGCGTGGTTATATACATTTTTCATATCTGCACACGTGATCACACTTATTTGGATAGGCTACAGACATAAATCACGCGCTGTTCACGCACCCCATATTCCCTTATGATTGGTAACTATGCACTAACGCTAATAGCAACAGACCGCCTGCAGCTCATCAGAGACAATAAGTTCTTCCACTCTCAGTCTGCACATTCCTAAAGAACCGTGGATGTTTTAGTTTTCCAAATTAATCTTTTTAATTTGAACCGGTTATTTCAAAGCAATGCAAGTAAGCCCAGGCTCTAATTCAGAAGAAGAAAAATATTTTTCTTTGGCACATTTGAAGTAGGTTTTAGTCCCACATACACACTCCCGTCATAGGAATCACTGTGCAAAATTATTTGTGGCATTGTGTGCCACAAATCATAGCCTAGTATATTAAATAAAATAAATAATCACTAATTTACAAACTTGATTTGTAAATTGTGACTGTTCAGTTTCTGCTTCACAAACAGCTGAGCTGTTGCTGCAGCAGAGCAACAGCACTAGAGAGGAAGAGAACTACAACTCTCTCTGCGTAAGCCCATAAGCAAAAGATACCAAACTTTTGCCATTAAGTTATCCTCCTGTTAATTTGTGCAATCTTTACATCAACATCAAGCTTTCAATAATTTACTCTAAGGACATACTCCACATTTATAGTCAAAACTCATGTTTAATAAAGGTAAGAACTTCAAAGAACAGAAAAATTAGAGTCTAGAAAGAGCACAATAGATTTTAATCAACTCCACTTCCCATTACTACATGGGCACACAAAATGGTCAACAGAATCTACAGACCAGAACTGCAAACTAATACTCTGATCTGTTAACTCTGAGATCAGTAACTCCCTTCAGCCACAACCAGGTCAGGTACAGCAGACAGCAAGAGACGAGGAGGAAGCATAAGGCAAGAAAATGTAGGAGAAAAGTTGACCTGTGTGTTTACAACAAAAACAGCAAGAAAGAGAGAAAAGACTGGGAGAGCATCCCTGCTGTGCATGTATGCCCAGTGCACAAATCCTACAATCAGAGATATCAGTTAATATGAGTCTATGAGGCAGAATTAGCTACATAAATAAGACAAGTACATTGTCCAGATGTTTGGTGCTTAGATACCAGTCTAATTCCAACTGCAACAGTCAACAAATCATCATAGAGAGTCTGTCTGAATATATTGCTTTAATTGTCAAAGTTCACATGTGAGTACGTATTGGGTCTGGCTGAGATAGAGTTAATTTTCCCTGTAGCAGCACTCATAGTGCTGTGCTTCGTGTCAGTAGCTAGAAAGCTGTCAGTAATACACCAGTGTTGGGCTACTGCTGAGCACTGCTTGCACAGCATCAAGGCTGTCTCTCCAACATTGCTGCCTCATCAGGAGGCTGGGAGCAGGCAAAATCTTGGGAGGGGCCATAGCCAGGACAGTTGACCCAAACTGACCAAAGGCATATTCCATACCATATGACATCTGCTCAGCAGTAAAACCTCAGAGACAGAAGGAGGAGAAGAGAGGAGCATTCGTTATGACAACGTTTGTCTTCCGGAGCAACCACTAAGTGTACTGAGGCCCTACTCCCCGGGAAGTGGCTGGACATTGCCTACTGACGGGAAGCAGAGAATAAAACTTTTGTCTTCCTTTGCTTCCGCGTGCATCTTTTGATTAATAAACTGCCTTTATCTTGACCCATGATTTTCTTTCCATCTTATTCTCTTCCCCACGTCCTGCTGAGAAGGGGAGTGATAGAGCGGCTTGGTGGGCACCTGGCATCCAGCCAAGGTCAACCCACCACAGAGTAAAAGCAAGGATTCTTATTGACACTTAAAAAGGATAATTTATGTTTAAAATACTTTGTCCATTGCCAAGTTTCAGCATCCGTGCAGGGTCAGGAATGACTCTCACACATTGGTGCAATGCACAGTCGATTCCCGATTTATTGGTCTACTTGCGTGGTTATATACATTTTTCATATCTGCACACGTGATCACACTTATTTGGATAGGCTACAGACATAAATCACGCGCTGTTCACGCACCCCATATTCCCTTATGATTGGTAACTATGCACTAA